CTCCCTGGTCTGACCTGGTCTTCCCCTTCTCCACAGTCAGGCCCAGTCTCAGCCCAAAAGCGCTGTCGGGAGTCCCCAGAACGCTGTAAGCAAGGAGCCCAGACCCCCCCATCACACCTCTGTCCCGATCCCAGGACCCTCCGCCCCCGCACCTGGCCCAGGAGTTCCTCATAACTTTTCTGTTTGTACACCCTCCTCCTATGTGCTGAAGCTTTGGTCAAGTGGCCCACCCTAAACACAGAGCAGTAGGCATTTTTTTTTTTTTGAGACAGAGTCTCACTTGGTTGCCCAGGCTAGAGTGCCGTGGTATCTATCAGTCTAGCTCACAGCAACCTCAAACTCCTGGGCTCAAGTATCCTACTGCCAGCTCCCGAGTAGCTGGGACTACAGCATGCACCACCCATGCCTGGCTATTATTTTTGGGTTTTTTGATTTACATTTTTTAGTTGGGGTCAATTAATTTTTCTATTTTAGTAGGAGACAGGGTCTCACTCGGCTGGTTTAGAAATCCTGACCTGAAGCAATCATCCCACTTCGGCCTCCCAGAGTGCTAAGATTACAGGCATGAGCCACCACGCCCGGCCAAGCAGTAGGCATTTTAATAGCTATACTAAGAGAACTATTCAACTAAGGCCTATGAGCTAAAATATAGCCTTTAAGCTTAAAACGGTTGGTGGAATTTTTAAAAAAGAGAACTTCATGTAGTTTGATAAAGCTCAGTAACTTTCCAGGCTAAATGCTTAGGTCACTTTGCATACACACCGCCTACTTCTGTAGGCCAGAGGTTGGAGCCCTCACTCTGGATTAGTGGTACTTAATCTCTTTTGAGCCTTGGACCCCTTTGAGAGACTCAGGAATGTTACAGTGCTTTCTCTAGAAAATTACACATAAATACCACATTTTACATTCAATTTCAGGGAAGGTCCATGGGCATCCTTAAGGCTTTTCCATGGACCCACAGGAACCACAATCTCTTATTAAGAATGATTGTTCTAGGCTGGGCACGGTGGCTCATGCCTGTAGTCCTAGCACTCTGGGAGGCCGAGGCAGGTGGATTGCTCAAAAGGTTCAGGAGTCGAAACCAGCCTGAGCAGAGCGAGATCCATCCTACTAATATAAGAAATTAATTGCCAACTAATAGATATAGAAAAAATTAGCTGGGCATGGTGGGCACATGCTGTAGCTCGCACTTGTGAGCTGAGCAGATTGCTTGAGCCGCAGTTGAGGTTCTGTAAGCTAGGCTGACGCCACGGCACTCCACTGTAGCCGGCAACAGACGAGACTCTGTCTCAAAAAAAAAAAAAGAATGATTGTTCTACATAAAATGAATGTTTAAAAAAGTGAGTCATTTTCTTTATTGAACAAATTACTTAAAAAACCAAGAACACTTCTTTGTATTGAGCCCTGTATACACTGTTGGTGGCAAACTAAAAATGGTATCTTTCTGGAGTACAACTGAGCAATCTGCAACAAAACTCTGAAAGTATATATTCCCATCTAGGAATAATACACTATAAAGATGTTTATTCAGAACAATCTATATATTTGACAGTAGGGCTATGTTATAGACATAAAATGGAGTATCAAGAACCACTATGTAATCCCAGCGCTCTGGGAAGCAAAGGTGAGAGAATGGCTTGAGGTCAAGAGTCCAAGACCAGCCTATGCAGGAGCAAGACCCCCATCTCTAAAAAAGAAAGAAAAAAAAAAAGAACCACAAAAAAAGATTGTTTTAAAATTCCTTTTCCAGTGCTTGCTTTGGCAGCACATATACTAAAATTGGAATGATACAGATAAGATTAGCATGGCCCCTGCAAATTTATTTTTTAATTTACATATAAAAAAACAGGCTGGGCGTGGTGGCTCATGCCTGTAATCCTGTAACTCTGGGGGGCCGAGGCGGGCGGATCGTTCAAGGTTAGGAGTTCGAGACCAGCCTGAGCAAGAGCAAGACCCCCATCTCTACTATAAATAGAAAGAAATTAATTGGCCAACTAATATATATAGAAAATATTAGCCAGGCATGGTGGTTGATGCCTGTAGTCCTAGCTACTTGGGAGGCTGAGGCAGCAGGATCGCTTGAGCCCAGGAGTTTGAGGTTGCTGTGAGCTAGGCTGACGCCATGGCACTCACTGTAGCCTGGGCAACAAAGCGAGACTCTGTCTCAAAAAAAAAAAAAAAAAAGAAGCTAGTCTGACGCCACAACACTCTAGCCAGGGCAACAGAGTGAGCCTCTGCAATCAATCAATCAAGAAAAAAAAATATTCCTTTTCCAGTAAAGTTATTTGCCAAATCTCCTTTGAGACCAGAAGGTGCCCTCCTAACACTACAAATCTCTTAAAATTCCAGGGCTCATGCAATCACCTGCCTCAGCCTTCTGGAACTACAGGTGCATACCACCACACCCAGCTAATTTTTATCTTTTTTAATGTTTTTATTTTTTTTATTTTTTATTTTTTTGAGACAGAGTCTCGCTTTCTTGCCTAGGCCAGAATGAGTGCAGTGGTGTCAGCCTAGCTCACAGCAACCTCAAACTCTTGGGCTCAAGCGATCCTCCTGCCTCAGCCTCCCGAGTAGCTGGGACTACAGGCACGAGCCACCATGCCCAGCTGATTTTTATATTATATATATTAGTTGGCCAATTAATTTCTTTCTATTTTTTATGGTAGAGACGGGGTTTCGCTCAGGCTGGTTTTGAACTCCTGACCTTGAGTAATCCGCCCGCCTCAGCCTCCCAGAGTGCTAGGATTACAGGCGTGAGCCACCTCGCCCGGCCTGTTTTTATTTTTTTTGAGACAGAGTCTCACTGTTGCTTGGGCATGGTGTCAGCCTAGCTCACAGCAACCTCCAACTCCTGGGCTCAATCAATCCTCCTGCCTCAGCCTCCTGAGTAGCTGGGATTACAGGTGTGCAGCACCACGCCAGGCTAATTTTTTCTATTGTTAGTAGAGACAGGGTCTCACTCTTGCTCAGGCTGGTCTCAAACTCCTGAGTTCAAACTATCCTCCCACCTCAGCCTCCCAGAGTGCTAGGATTACAGGTGTGAGCCACCGCGTCTAGCCCACCCAGCTAATTTTTAAACTTTTGGTTTTAGAGATGGGGTCTTGCTACATTGTTCAGGCTTGTCTTGAACTCCTGGCTTCAAGTGATACTCTCACCTTGGCCTCCCAGAACGCTGGGATTACAGATGTGAGCTACCACATCTGGCCTAATTTTGATTTATGACTATATTTCTTTATTAGATTTGTTTTCCCTTCCAGCTGCTTTCTATTGCTCACTTTAAAAAAAAATTTTAAACAGTCACACCAGAAGAATACTGCTTTGTTACGAATCCAAAAGAGGTTGGGCATGGTGGCTCATGCCTATATCCCAGTGCTTTGGGAGGCTAAGGTGGGAGGATCACTTGAGGCCACAAATTCAAGATCAGTCTGGGCAACATGGTGAAACAGGAGAAAGCAGATAGATATGTATTTAAATCCTGGCTCCATCTGTCACTACTCATGTAGTCACCGGGTAAGTTATAATAACCTCTCTGAATCTAAATGTTCTCATCTGTGAATGAGGCTAATAATGCAAACCTTCTAGTATTGTTCTGAGGGTTACATAAGATAACATATGTAAACTACTTAGTTTAATGACCATTATACTATTTTTCTTGGGAATTTAGAAGGAGGACTGTATTATTATTATTTTTTTTGAGACAGAGTCTCGATTTGTTGTCCAGGCTAGAGTGAGTGCCATGGTATCAGCCTAGCTCACAGAACCTCAAACTCCTGGGCTCAAGCAATCCTTCTGCCTCAGCCTCCGAGTAGCTGGGACTACAGGCATGCCACCATGCCTACAGGCACCACCATGCCCAGCTAATTTTTTTCTATATATATTAGCTGGCCAATTAATTTCTTTCTATTTATAGTAGAGATGGGGTCTCGCTCTTGTTTAGGCTGGTTTCGAACTCCTGACCTTGAGTGATCCACCGCCTCAGGCTCCCAGAGTGCTAGTATTACAGGCGTGAACCACTGCGCCTATCTATGGGTACTTAGCAAAGCTGGTTAGCATTCTGAGCCAACTTTCTGGGCTGCTGTGGGTACTCAAAAAGCATTCATAGGCTGGCAGGATGGCTTACACCTGTAATCCTAGCATCTGGGAGGCCGAGGCAGGAGGGTTACTTGAGGTCAGGAATTTGAGACCAGCCTGAGTGAGAGTCAGATCCTGTCTCAACTTAAAATAGAAAAATTATCTGGGTGGTATGATGTGCACCTATAGTCTCAGTTACTCAGGAGGATGAGGCAGGAGCTTCACTTAAGCCCAGGAGTTTGAGGTTGTTGTGAGCTAGGCTGACACCACGGCACTCTACGCAGGGTGACAAAAGCAGACTGTCTAAAAAAAAAATTGTATATCTCTAGGTTAATTTCATTACACTCATTTATCTATATCTATATATGTTTATTTATATATATTTTTTCTGGCTATTTTAACCACTGGAAAAGAAATTCCCCCATTTATCAACAAGAAATTTAATGCCACACAGTAGTACAGTAAATGATAATTGCTTCTAATACTTTGGAGAACACATCAAGTTTTCCAGAACACTTTCACAATCATATCTCAATGAAGCCCCAAGAAAACGTTTCAGCTAACATGCTACCACACATGTTTTTGGAGCAAGGCAGAGAGAGTATGAACAATAGAGGAAATATGCTAGTATTTCTACTATACAGAGACTGGTTGGACACAATGGCCCATGCTTGTACTTCTAGCACTTTGGGAGACTGAGGTGGGAGGATTGCTTTGAGGCCAGGAGTTCAGGCTACAGGACCAATAATGTATCCAAAGACACATGGTAAGTCAGAGAAAGCCAATATTAGAAACAACATTTTCTGGCCCCTGGCCAATGGTCTTTCTATTTACTAGGCTATTTCCTATCCCACTACTGTCCACTTTCAGTCTCTATCCCTCCCTCCCTGCCACACCAAAAGCCCCCTATAAAAGGGCAACTTTACCAGACACTGCCATCGTGTCGCTGATCCATGCAATGGAAAAGATCCAGTCTTTGTGTCCATCCTTGGAGAGAAGAGAGTGACAGGTACAGGGAGGAAAACAGAAAACAAATTAGTGAAATAAGGTTTGTAATGAACTCTCCTGAAAAGTATACAAGTGTGACTAAAAATATCTTTGTAAAAATTACAACTCCGATCGCTGGTGACCTCAACCCACAGGGCATGATCCCACAATCTTTAGCTTCTATCTTGAGGAGCTCAAAGCTGAAATGAAACTGGCATTACTGTGGGTAATAAACATGTCTGGTGAACACATAGCTCTGGGCTTCTACCTCTGGGTCCTATCTTCTGTCTGGAACGCTCTTCCTCCAGCTATCTGCATGGCTTGTGCCCTTATTTCCTTTAAGTCTCTCTGCTCAAATATCATGTAATCAATGAAGCTTTGTCTATCCTCTGAAACAGCATCTTCTGCCTCATTCACTATCCCTTTAGCCTGCCTTTACTCTTCTCCATGGCACTTACCAAACTCTGATATATTACTGGTAAGTATTTATTGGTTTATATTAATATTTTGGTTTCTATGTCACCCTCCACTAGAATGCAGCCTTCAAGAGGATAGGAGGTTTATCTGTTTCATTCACTGCTGTGTCCTCGGTGTTTAAAACAATGCCTACCCATAGAAGACTCAGCAAATGGTTACTGAATGAATGATTTAATAAACTTTGCTCTCTGACTGTGGGTAGTGGGAGATACGTGGACACTGTGGATTCAAACAACAACCCACTGCTGTTGGCTCCTCCGGTGTGCTGCCTACCCCTTTATCAAACATACCCTAGGCCTTATGAGGAGTCCAGTTCTCACTCTGACAGCTCCAACTCCACCCTTCACCCCCATGTCCCTGGAGTCAGCAGAAATCTAGAGGAAACTACCCCTTTCCAGGTGAGCTGGTGGGAGAAGGGTCTAACTACTGGGCCCTATTTAAAAACAAAGGCTGGCTGGGCGAAGTGGCTCACACCTGTAATCCTAGCATTCTGGGAGGCCGAGGCAGGAATATCGCTCAAGGTCAGGAGTCCAAAACCAGCCTGAGCAAGAGTGAGACCCTGTCTCTACTATAAATAGAAAGAAATTAATTTGCCAACAATATATATAGAAAATATTAGCCGGGCAGGGTGGCACATGCCTGTAGTCCCAGCTACTCAGGAGGCTGAAGCAGAAAGACTGCTTGAGCCCAGGAGTCTGAGGTTGCTGTGAGCTAGGCTGATGCCATGGCACCTTAGCCCAGGCAACGGAGTGAGACTGTCTCAAAGAAAAAAACAAGAAACAAAAAACAAGGCTACCTTTAAGTACAATCTATTGGGAAAACTTACATCTCCCACACACACAGGATCTAGTGTAGGCAATCGATAGATGGCAAGACTGTTGGGGTTATCTCCTCCAGTGGCTAACAGTGTTCTAGAGGGATTCAGCTCGATGGCATGGATACCACAGCCCTGCTGGGTCACACCTCCAGGCTCCCGGTCTTTCAGAATGGGGATCTTGGTGATCTGGCTTGTCTGGACATCCACTACAAACAGCTACAAGAGAAAAAGCACACAGAAGCAGAACAGAGTTCTTATTTAATGTGGCTGATGCTGGGTACAAACCTCCATTTGCTCGATTATCTACTAAACATTTAATTAATGTCTACTACATGTTAGACCCTGGGAATTATTAAAGACATTGTCAGGGTTATTAAACAAATAAACATGAAAATAAGCAAGTATAATGTTAGAGACAGATATTATATAATATGCCACATGAACACAAGACCAGGAAGTACTAAATTCTGCCTGGGATTCACAGAAAACTTCAAAGAGGCCGTGCATTAGGTTATGGACACAAAGAGTCAGATCAAAACAGTTTTCCCAGGCTGGGCGCGGTGGCTCAAGCCTGTAATCCTAGCACTCTGGGAGGCCGAGGTGGGCGGATTGCTCGAGGTCAGGAGTTCAAAACCAGCCTGAGCAAGAGCGAGACCCCATCTCTACTATAAATAGAAACAAATTAATTGGCCAACTAATATATATAGAAAAAATTAGCCGGGCATGGTGGGGCATGCCTGTAGTCCCAGCTACTCTGGAGGCTGAGGGAGAAGGACAGCTTGAGCCCAGGAGTTTGAGGTTGCTGTGAGCTAGGCTGACGCCATGGCACTCACTCTAGCCTGGGCAACAAAGCGAGACTCTTGTCTCAAAAAAAAAAAGAAATGTTTCAGGTAAAGGATCAATCTTAGAGGAAGGGCACCCAACAGACTTTATTATTAAACTCTTCATGTGATTCCATGATTCATCCCTTCATTCACTCATTCATTTGCCAGTACTATTCTATTAATAAGTGCTACAAACACAACTTCATAGAGAAATAATCTCTATCCTCATATACCTTATAGCCTGGAAGCTGAATTAAAATTCCATCAGCAATTCTCATGGTAAAGGCAAACCATGTCAAACCTTTACATAAATAAAGCTACTGTTTGCACAGGAGGAGATCTATGAAAGGAGAAACTAGATGGGTCTTAGGTTTAAGATAAAAAAAGGAATGGAGGAGTAGCTAGAATAAAGTGCCAGACAGGGTGGAGGGAGAACTATTCTCAAATCTGTAACATAAGAGCTCCACAACTACTTAAAAGCAGCAGACTTCCTGCCTGACTGGCACCATTGTTGTTACATCCCACAGGCATTTTAAACTCAAGGTGTCTAAAACAAATTATCTTGCTCCTCAAATTGCTCATTTCCCTAATGCCACCATTATCTGCCCTGTCACCTAAGCCTGGGTTTTATCCCAGAGTACTCCTTCTGCCTCAATTCCAACATCCAATCAATCAGCTAGTCTGCCTAAATATTCTCACAGCTGCTCCTTCCTCTACATCCTCACTCTCATCACCTCTCCCTTGGAAAACCACAATTCGTCTTTGTGCCTTCAGGCAAGGCCACCATCAAAATTGTTCTCTATATTAGAAACAGAGTCATCTTCCTAAAAATGGAAATCCTCCCAGCCAGTCTCCAGTTGAAAAACATCCAATGGCTCCCCTTCACCTAAAGCCAAGCTCCTTAGCATGGCATTAAGACCACGTTCAGGGCTGGGCAGTGGCTCATACCTATAATCCTGGCACTTTGGGAGGCTGAGGTGGGAGAATTGCTTGAGCCCAGAAGTTGGGGACCAGCCCAGGTAACATAGTAAGACTGTGTCTCTACTAAAATAATTTTTTAAAATTAGCTGGGCGCAGTGGCATGCACCTGTAGTCCTAGCTACTTGGGAGGGTGAGACAGGATCACTTGTGCCCAGGAGTTTGAAGCTGCAGTCAGCTGTGATTGTGCCATTCCATTCCAGTCTGGGCAACAAAGTGAGACACTTTCTCACTTAAATAAAAAAGGCTCTGCTCAATCCAGCCCCTGTCTATCTTCACACCTTACCATGAAATAACTGCTTCTAACTATTACATATGCACGATTCTTCAACGAAATACAATTATTTTGTTTCATGTTCATGCTGTTCACAATGCTCGAAATGCTTTCTTTCTTTCTTTCTTTCTTTTTTTTTTGAGACAGAGTCTCACTTTCTTGCCCAGGCTAGAGCAAGTGTCGTGGTATCAGGCTAGCTCACAGCAACCTCAAACTCCTGGGCTCAAGCAATCCTCCTGCCTCAGCCTCCTGAGTAGCTGGGACTACAGGCATGCGCCACCATGCCTGGCTAATTTTTTTTCTAGATATGTTAGTTAGCCAATTAATTTCTATTTATAGCAGAGACAGGGTCTTGTTCTTGCTCAGGCTGGTTTCGAACTCCTGATCTAGACCAATCCGCCCGCCTCGGCCTCCCAGAGAGCTAGGATTACAGGCGTGAGCCACCACACCAGGCCTCGAAATGCTTTCTTTTACTCTTTCCTTTACCTGGCCAACATGAGCTTATTTTTTATGATTCAGTTCAGACATGTCCTTCTAGAATATTCTCTAAACATCCAGGATGAGTAAGTACTCCTCTTACAGGCTCCCAAGATACCCCTCTCTGCCCACAATAGTATACCATATCATACTGATTTAAAATATTTACTTGTCTGTCTTCCCTATTAAGCTAATTACTCCCTCCCAATTTCAAGAGCAGAGCATTTATCTTAATTGGTTTTATAATCTTGCCCCAGAAATGCCAAGCTACTTAGTAAGTACTTGTAATAGCCACTTTTCAAGGGGGGCCTACGCAACCTCTTTCCACACCCCTGTGAGGCTGAGACCTCATAGCTGTTTATTTGATATAAACTCAGATGCCCAGATCACAGCACAGTCTAGGGGAGCTCCTGGCTCAGGGAGAACCTGTCCAAGGCTAGATTAGACTAGGCTGTTCAAATTCTCTCAGGAATGTAGAACTGTGGGTGGCACTAGACTAAATGCCTGGGTGGCATTTTTACCAGTCATTCCTCAGAGAAAATATAAGAGAGGAAGCATGGACATTCTTGGTTCCTAGCGGCTTTCCAACTCCTGGTTCTGTTTCATTCTGAGATCCAGGAATATCTCCTGCTTTTGGGGTTTGTGAATTAGTCCTTCCAATAAATGTCAGTCAGTGGATGTCTTACCCTTTTAAACAAGTGATCCCTAACCAGATAGCCCTCAAAACATTAACTGAAGCAAAATTAACTGCTTGCTCACATGTTTGTGCTGTGTGGGACAATGCATCCTTAACATCTTAGCTTATGGACCAGTGATTCCCAAACTATTATCAAAATAACCTGGGAAATTATCTTAAAAAAAAAAAAAAAAAAAGCTTATTCCTCCATTAGAAATTTCTGAGTTTGCATATTTATTACAGCACTATTCACAATAGCCAAGATACAGAACCAATCTAAGTGTTCATCAATGGATGAATATATACACAAAATGTAGTATACAATGGAATTACTATTCAGCCACAAAAAAGTATAAAATCCTGACATTTGCAACAACATGCATGAACCTAGAGGTCATGTTATTTAAGTTTAAATGACAAAGTACATAAGCAAAGTACAGAATGACAAATACCACATGATCTTACCCATATATGAAATCTAAAAAGTTGATCTCATAGAATTAGAATAGAATAGTGGTTACAAGAGGCTGGGGTAGGGAGAGGTTGGTAAATGGGTACCAAGTTAAAGTTAGATACGAGGAATAAGTTTTGGTATTACATTGCACAGAAGAGTGATTATAGTCAACAGAAAGTATTACATACTTCAAAATAGCTAGAAGAGTTTTGAATGTTCTCACCACAAAGAAATGTTTGAGGTGACAGATACGCTAATTACCCTAATTCGATCATTACACAATGTATATATGCACCAAAACATTACACTATACCCCATAAATATATGTAATTATTATGTGTCAATTAAACACCATATTAAAGCCAAGCGTGGTGGCTCACAACTGTAATCCTAGCACTGTGGGGGGCTGAGGCAGGAGGATAGCTTGAGGCCAGGAGTTCGAGACTAGCCACAGCAACATAGCAAGACTCTGTCTCTACAAAGAATACAAAAACTAGCCAGGCATGGTGGTGCACACTCGAGCCCAAGGAGTTTGAGGTTGCTGTGAGCCTAGGCTGACGCCACGGCACTCACTCTAGCCTGGAACAACAAAGTGAGACTCTGTCTCAAAAAAAAAACAAAAAACAATAAACCCGGCGGCCGGTGGCTCACGCCTGTAACCTAGCACTCTGGGAGGCTGAGGCAGGTGGATTGCTCGAGTCAGGAGTTCGAAACCAGCCTGAGCAAGAGCAAGACCCTGTCTCTACTATAACAGAAACAAATTAATTGGCCAACTAACATATATATATATATATATATATATATATAATATAATATATATAATATATAAAAATAGCCGGCACGGTGGTGCATGCCTGTAGTCCCAGCTACTCGGGAGGCTGAGGCAGAAGGATTGCTTGAGCCCAGGAGTTTGAGGTTGCTGTGAGCTAGGCTGACGGCACGGCACTCACTCTAGCCTGGGCAACAAGCGAGACTCTGTCTCAAAACAAAACAAAACAAACAAAACAAAAACCAAATAAGGCCGGGTGTGGTGGCTCATGCCTGTAATCCCAGCACTCTGGACTGGAAGCCAAGGTGGGACAATCACTTGAGGTCAGGAGTTTGAGACCAGCCTGAGCAAGAGAGAGACTCTGTCTCTATTAAAAAAATAGATAGAGGCTGGGCATGGTGGCTCACGCCTATAATCCTAGCACTCTGAGAGGCCGAGGCAGGTGGATTGCTCAAGGTCAGGAGTTCAAAATCAGCCTGAGCAAGAGCAAGACCCTGTCTGTCTCTACTATAAATAGAAAGAAATTAATTGACCAACTAAAAATATATCTACAAAAAATGAGCCGGGCATGGTGGCGCATGCCTGTAGTTCCAGCTACTCGGGAAGCTGAGGCAGTATGATCGCTTGAGCCCAGGAGATTGAGGCTGCAGTGAGCTAGGCTGAAGCCACGGCACTCACTCTAGCCTGGGCAACAAAGTGAGACTCTGTCTCAAAAACAAACAAAAAAAAGGAAAGAAAGAAATTAATTGGCCAACTAAAAACAT